ACCCTAGATTTCCCACTCCCCCTTCTCCCCATTTCAGCTTAAAAAAGCTTGATAGCCCTCCCTGGAGAACGTGAGGTGGGATCGTTGTTAAGGGGAATTTTCATTTTGAACAAAATAAAAACAGCCCCTAAGGCCGCCTTTATACTGCTTTGCAAATTTCTAACTGGTAAACTACTCTCACAAAGACTGAGTTAATCAACGACCTTCCATTATCACGTTCACAACGAATATTTTTAGAACACGAACAAAGAAGTTGTTACAAGATATCATCTTTACAGGCTACATCAATCACCAACGGCCCCTTATTTCTTCCTATCTTTAGTAAGTTATCCTCCTCATATTGCATTGACTTGAAGCCAAGCGGTTTTATGACTATCCTGTAAACAGATCTCTTCTCTTAACATAGATCCAAATTTGGGCAACGAGAGCTTGGCTCAGCACGGAAAACTTGATCGAATCAGCAGAGAAATGTGAGTTCCGTCTGACCCAGATCCAATATCCCTTGTTCACAGCTAACTCGGTCAAATGTGATGATTTGATAATACCACAGGATCAGTGGATCATCGTTTCCGGTGCTGAAGCGTTTAGCGCTCTTTTAAGATCGTGTTTCCTAGTGAAATAACTCTTAGAACCTTTAAAAAGCTGCACGATTAAGAACGTTCGAACTGCTTCGAAATGACGAGTTCACGGAGAAGTCCTAGTCACATCTATTTCTTCTTCATCGGCTTGGTGCTCTTGGCAGTCGGCGCTCAAGTTGTCAAAAGCGCTGATGATGGTCCTGATTCAACGACAATGGATCTGATAGAACGCATAAATAGAAACACAGGTTAGTCTGACATTTGAATTTTTGCTTCACCGTCAAACTGACACACCAACGAGTAACTAGCCATCGGATATTTTACCAAAATTACGGTACATTTTCAAACATATTACCATACTCTGTTATTGCTTTCCGTTTTCTTTTGGATTGCTGTCATAACGGCCCGTCGGCAGCTCACGTGCAAATTTATGTTGTCAGCACATTTGACCAGATTGGTTTTTTTTCGGGGGAAATTAGGAAATTTAGCTTTAAACAATGACAGACATTTTGATGCCGGGATACAGCTATCCGCTTTTCAAAGGATATTCCTTTTTAATAACGCTGATCCGTCTATATGTAGACTCATTTCTGCTGTTATATTCCAAATAATGAATATCAGACACGAAGTTCTGTTAAAGACGAAATGATGTTAAATAACTATGTTAGTTATTCTTACTTACTAGGTAATACAATGTGCTACTCATGGAGGTACCTAATAAAGTTGTTGTTGTTGTTGTTGATTAATTTGACATTTAAGGACAACATTATGTCGAGACTGTGACTTGGCGGCGAGTGTAGTTCAAGCTTGGTCGAGAGTGAATGTTCTCGGTTAATTAAATTCTACTTTCGCGAATGCTTCGCCGAGGTAACGCTACTAACTATGCTAAGACGGGCTTCCGTTGCATTTCGATTCGATACACAAGAGAGGCGGGAAAGGACGTTGCTGACGCAGAGGACATAA